TATATATATATATATATATATATATATATTTGAGACAAGGGTTTCTCTGTGTAGCCCTGATTGTCCTGCAACTTTGCTCCACGGATCAAGCTAGGCTTTCGTGAAATCAAAGATCCACTTGCCTAGTGAGTGCTGGAATTCAAGTCATGTGCCACCATTCCCAGCTCAAATGTTTTATTTTATTTCTGGCCACAGAATGTCCCCCTTAAGTTTCAAGACACTTTAGTGGGTGTTTGAAATCATCAACAGTACCAAATTCTATCAATCCTATGCTTTTTCCTATACATATATACCTATGATAAACTAAATATGTAAATGAGGCAGAATAACAATTTTATAAGCTAAATGAGTGAAGTTTAAAGACAGTTTCGTGTATCCCATGCTGGCCTTAGATTTACTGTGGTTCTCTTGTCTCCCTCCCTGGGATCACAAGCATTCACCACCATATATATCCATTCTACAATGCTGGTCATCAAAAGTAGGGCTTTATGCACTATTGGCTAGTGTACACCAGCTGAACTGCATACAGCCTTAACCCTCTTTTCTTTCTCTCTCCTTTCTATTAAGACAGAGTCTTACATCGTCCAGGCAGATGCCCAACTTGGCTATGTAGGTGATGCTGGGAGCCCTGAACTGATGATCACTTCCTCCTGCCTCCACTTCCTAAGTCCTAGAATTACCTTGGCATAGTAGCTGGCACACAGCAAGCAGCCTGAACAGTATTTACTACAATTATTTCTGAAAAATATGCAAATCCTACAATGGAAAAGAATCACATTGAAAGGCAGTCACAAAAAAGATAAATTATACTAATGAGCCATCAAGTTATACAACTGAACAAGGAAACTGGGAACTGACACCCCCCCACAGGATATGTCCCTGTAAAACTAAATTGTCCACTGGGAAAATTCTGCAATCATTTAAAACACACAACATGTGAGTCTTCCCATGATTGAAGGGGAAAGACCTACAGCATCTTAGAATTTATCACGCAGATAGTTTTTCCCAACTTTGGCTTTGCTGTTTCACTGTTTCTGAGTGTCACTAAGCTCTTTACAGTGAGTGCTTCTCCTGGATAAGCTCAGGGTGTCTCTTAAAGCTCTATGGAAACAGGTGACAGGACCATTGCCCTCAAATTTCATATGGGAGGTGAGATGCAGACTGGCTTCCTGCTGTATGTCAAGTTCCACACAACTGTTGCCATGGTGAGGCTGTATTTAAGTAGATTGGCTCCAAATTTAATACTTCTTTCTCTTTTTTTAATCAGGGTCTCATTATGTAGCTCTGGAACATACTCTGTAGACCAGGCTAACCTCAAACTCAGATCTGCCTGCCTCTGCCTCTGCCTCTGTAAATAGTTGTAACACACACACACACACACACACACACACACACACAGAGAGAGAGAGAGAGAGAGAGAGAGAGAGAGAGAGAGAGAGAGAGAGAATATCTGTAACTTAACTCTCTGGATAGGTCTATTGAGTTATCTTGGTATCCCTATCTTTTATTCCTCCTTTCCTCGGGGCTAGAATCCAAGACCTCAATATACCAGGCAAGTGTTCTATTTTTGAACTACACTCCCGACCTCCAAACAATGGGTTTTTGGTTGTTTTTTTTTTTTTTTTTTTTTTTTGGTTTTTTAAGATCGGGTTTCTCTGTGTAGCTTTGGAGCCTATCCTGGCACTCGTTCTGGAGAGCAGGCTGGCCTCAAACTCACAGCAATCCACCTGCCTCTGCCTCCCAAGTGCTGGGATTAAAGGCGTGTGCCACCAACGCCCCTCGGGTTTTGCTCTTTTTAAAAAAATCTTTTCCAGATACCAATATCATTGAACTTAAAGTTCAAAGGAATACACATGACAATAGACATACAAATCATCGGTTGGAGGCTAAATTGGGAAGCTGCATCTTTAAAAACTGCACATCCTGTCCAAGTGTCACCACAGGGCACAAATGGCTATTAAGACACTTGAAATGTGTCCAAATTAAAATGTGTTGTAAAATATACACGGGATATGAGATTTAAGAGAAAGGCCATGAGGCTGACTGTGAAATCTTGATTCTCCACCCTCTATCTCCTAAATGATAGGATTATAAGAAAAGAATTAATTCACCATGCCTAATCACGTTAACTTTTTAAACGTGGTTTGCACTATACAGTATCAGTACTGGCAAACATACTGCTCCAGAGTGACTTCTGCAAGGCTAGGGGTGTAATTCGGTGGTAGGGCTGATCCTTTGCATGTCTGAGGTTCTGGGTTCCATCCCCCAATACAAGACACTGGTAGCATTTAAACAAAACTCTAGATCTCATTTTTCTACACCCTCTCCTTTTAGCAAGAATCGCTTCCTCAAGCAAGAATCGGTTTTTCTGTAAGCTTCGCTTCACTTCACTTCCACCTCTGCCAGCTAATGTAAGAACACAACCTATGCAGTCTTCTGCACTCCAGGAATTGGGGTACTTATATATCTTAACATACCCAAACCCAGTTGGCCCACTTTCGACTTTCATTATTAAATCACTGTTCAAGCTGGGTGAATGGGTCAGGAAACAGTAAGATCCTCAAGAATCCAAAGAAGGAAGTGAGACCCAATGTTCTCATTTCACCGTTTCCAACAGGTGATAGAACACTCTGCTTCTTGGGAGTCCCTTTCCTCCAGTTCTTTCTCACAATCTACTTCCAGTAACTAAGCTGTCCCTTGCAGCGGCCTCCAGTTGGAGGGCATGGATATTTATTTATTCATTCATTTATTTATTTATGCTCTTTTGCTTTTGCCGGTCAACTTCTGCCGTTAATGTAAGGGATCAGCTCAACGTGTCCTAAGATCTGATAGTTCCCGCATTCCTATCAGAACAGGTTGGGGTGATTCTATGCCCGCATGTTCTACTCTTCATTGATGAGATTTTCAACCCAGCCGCTCACAGACCCGATACTGGGCTCCGGCTCGAAGCACCCGGGGGTGAGCTGCTCTGCGTCCTCCCCAGCCGGGAAATACCTGCCCTGCCGTCTCACCTGGGTCGTCTTCGTCGCGGGGCACCTTCTTGAAGCAGTCGTTGAGTGATAGGTTGTGGCGTATGGAATTCTGCCAGCCAGCCTTGCTGCGCTGGTAGAAGGGGAAGTTATCGGCAACGAACTGGTAGATGTGGCTGAGGGTGAGCTTGCGCTCGGGAGAGCTCTGGATGGCCATGGCGATGAGCGCAGAGTACGAGTAGGGTGGTCGCACTATCTTCATCAGATCCTCG